CCATTTGTCATATACCAAGTTGATGAACTTACCTGTTGTTGATTCTTCTTGTTCTTCTATGAAAGCTTTACCTTGTGATGTATGCCATTTTTCTTTGACAGAAAAGGTTACCATTTACAGTAAGTGATTCTAAATCTTCTTGCATATTGAACTTATACACTGTGATGTTTGGGGACCATTCTCTGTCATATCTCATGAGGGTTATAGATATTTTCTAACTATAGTGGATGACTTCAGTAGAACAATTTGGATATATCCTCTGAAAAATAAGTCAGACACTAGAACCAGTTTACATCATTTTTACAATCTGGTTCAAAATCAGTTTCAAAAACAAATTAAGACCATTAGGACTGACAATGGCACTGAGTTCTTTTTGCATGATTTTTATCAGTCCAATGGCATTATTCATCAAACTAGTTGTGTTGAAACACCTCAACAAAATGGGAGAGTTGAAAGAAAACACCAACATTTACTTCAAGTGGCTAGGGCAATCATGTTTCATGCACACTTACCATGTCTTTTGGGTTGATTGCATTTGTGCTGCTGCTCACATTATAAATAGAGTGCCCTCCCCTGTGCTTCAAAACAAATCTCCTTTTGAAGTTTTAAATAAAAAACCTCCTACCTATGATCACCTCAGAGTCATAGGTAGTTTTTGTTATGCATCCACATTGACTGCAAACAGACATAAATTTGATTCAAGAGCATCTAAATGCATAATTCTTGGTTATCCCATAGGGTGTAAAGGTTACAAACTTTACAACCTTGATACCAAGAAGATATCAATATCCAGAAATGTGAAATTCTATGAGAATATTCTCCCATTCAAAGACAGTGTTCAATCAACTTCAAATGACACCCTTTTTCCATTACCAGAACCATATTCTTTTGCAGATACACCTATCTCAGTTACTGTCTCTACTCCTGTCATACAGAATCCCACCTCTCATGTTCATACATCACCAATACATACATCTCATGTACAATCTCCTTCACCAACTCTATCACACTCATCTACACCAACTATATCAAATCCCCATACCTCCTCACTGAACCAAGATGTCCCAACTACTTCTCTCAGAAGATCAACAAGATCAATTAAACCTCCTGCATACCTTGACATATATAAACACTTTTTACCTTCTTTGAAATCAAACTCTGCTATTTTTTCTCACTGCACTTCTGGGACACTTCTGTATCCAATTTTAAATTTTTTATCCACCAAATCATTGTCTACATTGCATTCATGTTTTACTGCATCTATTTCTTTGCTTACTGAACCTAAGTCTTATAAAGAAGCTGCTAAAGACCCTCAATGGCAGAATGCTATGAGAAAAGTAATAGAGGCTTTAGAAAATACTAAAACTTGGGTACTGACCACTTTACCAAAAGATAAACATTGTATAGGTTGTAAATGGATTTTCAAAATAAAATACAAATCTGATGGTACTGTGGAAAGATATAAGGAAAGACTAGTTGCTAAAGGTTATACCCAAGAAGAAGGCATAGATTATTTTGAAACTTCCTCACCTGTTGCCAAAATTACCACAGTAAGACTGCTGATTGCTATAGCTTCTATTAAAAAGTGGCATATTCATCAACTTGATGTTAACAATGCTTTTTTACATGGTGAGTTAGAAGAAGAGGTCTATATGAAACCTCCACCTGGTTACTGTGATAAAAATGACAACATGGTGTGTAAACTAGTAAAAAGCCTCTATGACCTTAAGCAGGCTTCTAGGCAATGGTTCTCTAAGCTCACACAATGTCTTCTTGCATATGGTTTTGTTCAATCTGTTTCTGACAGCTCATTGTTCACTATGCATTCTGGATCTTCATTTACAGCATTATTAGTATATGTTGATGATATTATAGTGACAGGCAATAATCTTTCTCATATTTCAAAAATTAAAAATCACCTTGATGCCTGCTTCACTATCAAAGACTTGGGTATTTTGAAATACATCCTTGGCTTAGAGTTTGCACATTCTAATCAAGGTATAAACATGTGTCAGAGAAAATATGCCCTTGATATTCTCACTGACACAGGTTTTTTAGGCTGCAAACCTGCAGCCACTCCTATGGACCCAACTGTTAAATTGACAGCATATACTGAAAATGATGAACTTACTGAGCCTACTGCCTACAGAAAGCTTATTGGCAGGTTACTGTACTTAACAATATCTAGGCTTGATATTGCCTTCAGTATCCAAACTCTTAGCCAATTCTTGTCAAAACCAACTGTTCATCACCTCAATGTTGCATACAGGGTACTGAGATATCTAAAAGGTACAGTAGGTAAGGGATTATTATTTTCAAGTTCTTCTGTTCTTCAACTGCATGCTTTCTCTGACAGTGACTAGGGTTCTTGTGTTAACACTAGAAGAAGCATTACTGGTTTTTCCATCTTCTTAGGAAAATCACTTATTTCTTGGAAATCTAAGAAACAAGCCACTGTCAGTAAATCATCAGCAGAATCAGAATATAGGGCTTTAGCTTCTACTGCATGTGAAATACAATGGCTTATGTACATTCTTGTTGATTTGAGTATTTCACATACATCACCTGTTCCTCTATTTTGTGACAACAAATCTGCTATTGCTATTGCTACTAACCCCGTTTTCCATGAGCGTACAAAACATATAGAAATTGATTGTCACCTAATTCGAGAAAAAGTGTCACAATGGCTGATTCAGCTTCAACATGTGGATACAGAGGATCAAACAGCAGATATTCTCACCAAAGCCCTACCAGGCCCTGCTTTTCTTTACCTTATATCCAAGCTTAACATGCATAATATACATGTTTAGCTTGCGGGAGGTATTAACATTATGTATTTAATTGTTATTAGAACTTGTGTTAAAGTTGTTGTTCTCTAAAACAACAACTATAAGCATTTGTAATAATAGACTTTGTGTTAAAGTTGTTGTTTTATAAATAGCAACTATAGACATTTGTATTTTTACTATTTTGCCATTGTGGAAACCCTAGATATAAATAGGGAACATCCACATCTTGTACTTCACATTTTTCTTTTCTCAATTTTCAGTCGCAACATTCTTTCTCTCTTGTTCTCTTTCTGTTCATCTATCGATCTGAAAGTTTTGTTCGATTGTAATCTAATAAGTGGCCTATTAGCATGAACAATTAAGTCCTTATTGTCACATTTTCAAGACATTTAAGTGATTATCATTTTATTTTATTTTATTTTATTTTTTTTTTTATTTTTTTTTTGAGAGAGATGACTATTAAATTATCCTTTTATATTATAAACTTGTTGTTTGAAATATTTGGCTACATCTGTTTCTAACATTATATATATGTTTTAAAATTTTCAACAGAAAACAATCAAATATACAAAAATATCATGTAATTATATGATTATTAATTTAATATATCTTCAATATGTTAAATGAAATAACAATAAAAGAGTTATCAAGTTTAACTGGTGAAATCTCCAATGTAACATTCGCATCCATATATTATGTAAAAAGTGACGATGTATTCACCAGAAAAAAAAATGATGAGATTGGAATAATATTATTATATTTATCATGAATTTATTTAGAAAAAAAGTTATAAAAGGGTAACATAGTTTCTAATTTGAAAATTTTTAGCATGAGCATGGTTTCTAAGTTGAATAATCCCTTTGTTTTAATTAAGATTGTTTGTAATAATATTGGAAAAATACAAATAAAAGGTAGTTAATTTTCATCATGACATTTTTTTTTACCGAATGCACAAACAATTGAACAACCAATTAGATAGGCCTAGTAGCGGGTATCAAGGAACTACTACGTACACCGTGGGTGGTTACAGTAAAACATGTCTTTCGTGAAGCGAATTTTGCGGCCGACTTCCTAGCCTCCTTCACGGCGGAAGGCCCTTTGGGTTACCATTTCTTTCAGGATCTACCGGAGGGAATTTGTCATTGGTTACACCATGATTTAGTTGGCGTAGCCTATCTACGATCGATTTGCAATCTAATTTTCTAGGCGTGTAACCTCATCCATTGTGTTGTAAATATTAAGTTGTGGACATTACCTAGATATAGGATTTGTAGGCATGGGCCAGGAGCCCATTAGGTATTTACTCATGTACATTATATTCCCTTATATATAGGGCTCAAGTGAATGAATAAGATGATGGGGTTTAACGGCGTATCTATTTTCCCTTATTCTCTTCTTCTTCTACTGTTTCTATCTTTGTCTATTTTACACATAGATTTTACATATTGTTAATCTATATTACAACACATTGTACCAAAAAAAAATTAGAGAGATGACTGGGCAACAGCAAAACCAATTCAATTTTGTAATACCAATTGGTCCAAATTATTTTCAGATATCTCTGCAGCATCTCAATTGTCAATTCTCAAAGAATAAAAAAAAAAAAAAAAAAAAAAAAATCACTGCCAGTGAAACATATTTTTCTTCCACTTAATTGCTCGAGGACAACAGAACCAATCAACCACAGTGCACACATGTTGCTGTAGTTGGTGTCCCGCAGGTCAGATATTGACATCATAAAACACACACATCACATCACAATCTCAACACAAATGTATATAAAACATAAACATCGATACCAATTACACCATAACAAATCAGAAAAAAAAAAGGAGGAGGAGGAGGAGGAGAAAGCAAACATCATCAACAACAACGGACGTCTCTATAGAACCACGGGTCAACAACAGTTCAAACAATTCCGATTACAAATGCTCAAACAGATTTAAAAATAGCTGCTTCTCCACAACATTAAAGGGAGGCCCACCCAATGATTAGTTCTACAATCCTCCAAACTATCTCAGAACAGGATCAACACAGACTCTTCAAATCTGTATTCTTATGCACACACTTTTTAATATTAGAAATACGAAGTTTCTAACTCAGGTTTTTCCCACTCTCGCGTATCACCTGCGGCATCACACTTCAAGGGATACTTAAAACTCCGCATTACCTCGACCCTGCAAGAAACTCCTTGCATGCTTTCATGAGCTTTTACCCCAGATTCATATCGATATCGATCAATCCTTTCTCGTCCGGATTCGAGCCGCAAATCTCGCTCTGATTTTTATCGTTCTCCAAATCTATTTGCCTGCGGAGGAGAAACTCATCCGGGGTGGCAGCCGGGTCTAGATCCCAACAGCCCTCGGGCAAATTTGTCTTTTCAACCTCAAGCGGGAAAGAAGGCACCTGGTGTGAGAAACGCAACATTTCTCTTCTCGGTATCCACCGAGCGGCACCATCATCCCGATTCCTCTGGTAAACCGTCTTGTACCCGTCAAGCTTTATCACAGGCCTTACCCACACACCATTTTCCTCCGAATACTCATCAAGAACCTCAACTATCTCATACTGGTGCCTCACATCAGTGGGTGTCGACCTGTCCCAATCAGGCGACCAGTTTTTATAAACCGCCCAGATATCCCTTTTTCTCGGGTATATCCTCACGCACCCTCCTCGCCCGGCTTTCTCACGGCTCAACAGATGAGAGAATATGTTGACCTGCTCAATGGTCTCCGAATGGAACACCCTGAAATTCCCACACGATTTGGTGAATCCACAGTCCAGCCAGTTGACCAGCCCAAACTCGGTGTCGGACCTCGAGCTCAGGTAGCTTATGAAGATCTTAAACGGGCTTAACGATATGACATCACGAATTAGACAGTAGAGACGAGGCATGCCGTCATCTTCATCATACAGGGCCCATATTTGCTTGGGCTTGAAGCATTCCTCAGACCTGTCCTTGTCGAAATCGTGAAAGTCAGAATCGGGGACCGTGATCGACATGGCAATACTTCTTTTGAGCTCTGGTTGTGGTATTTTGACGGCAACACAGGATTTGCTAGCTTCGGCTGCAAGTGCTTTTCTCCTCTCGGTCTCTTCAGCTTCCCGCATCATCTCTTCAAGTTCTTTACGGATAACGGATCTGCCTTTAGCAATCAACAGCTGCCGAGTGTCAACCACGCGGACAGCCGAGACGCGTCTTGTCAAGTTCTCGGGATTCAGTGTTGCACTCCCGTTGGCTGCTTTCGGCTCGACTGCATTATTTGGACCTGTCGTTTCAGGCCCGGAGCTGAATGGGCCTCCGGGCTCCGATTTAATCTTCTTGGGGGGCCGACCGCGCTTTGGCCGAGGTATTTCTCCCTGGAAAGCGGTGTACCCATTGGGGCACACATCAGACGCAGCAGCATTCACTTTCTGATGTTTTCCGTTGGATCTGGACTTGCTTCCCTCCCCGTTAGCTTGATATATGGTGAAAGACGATGAGGATAGTCCATTAGCATCCACAATCCCGGTGGGATTTCGCGATGGGGCACCCTGAAACGATATGTTCGAGACGTACTCAGTTCTGTACCCGGTGTGATGAGCGGAAACCCCATTGGGCCCACAGTAGCCCGTGGTTGTTGGTACATATGTAACCCCACAACCGTGGCCCGCGTATCCGTTTTCGGGCGCGTACGAGTAATTTCCATAAGGGAAAACGCCATCATGTGGGCCCAGCCCAGTTTCCACAGCAACAAACACACCACGGCAATTTTTACAGGAGAGCCGCTTGTTGACATATTTCCGGAGGTACTCGTACTGAACGTGACAAGACGTGCACACAGTCCAGAACGTATCCAGCCTCCTATGGGAAGACGAAAACAGATGTCTTCTCTGGTCATAAGAGCTCCTCTTGGAGTTATCAGACAAGAGGGCCCACGCCTCGGAGACGAGCCGGAAGGCCCCATCAGCACCTGCGGTCTTATTCTTGTCGGGGTGCAGCAGAAAGGCCATCTTCTTATACTGTTTCTTTATCTTGGACCGGTCCACAGAAGGGTCCAGTCCGAGGATAGAGTAGAAATCAGGCTCTCCATTGATTTTGGCCTCGTAGGCCGTGTAGACTCCAAATGTGGCCACCATTTGAGATATGCCCTCGAGCTCAGGGCAAAGCATCTGGGCTTTGAGGGCAAGATTTTTAGCGCCTGCAAAGTTTTTCTGCATGAACTGCTGCTCGGCAAATGCTTTGGCCCTAACGGCTTCCTCTATGTTGGATCCCATCTCGCGTCCTTCTTTTCTTTTGTCCTTCTATTCCTTTAAATCAAAATAGACTTCAAAAACTAATTATTTCAGGGAGAGCTTAACAACAGCATAATAGGATCCTGGGTGACAATCCAAATCCCCGACCAGACATTTCCATTAGTGCTAGCTGCAGGAGAAACACCAAATCGTAAGACATCCTGTTTTTTCTTTGTGGATTCAAAATAAAATTACACTAACAATCACCAAACAATTCAATCGGAACTCTCCGATTCCCTACCGCTAAATCAACATTTCCATCATCAATTTAAACTCAGCACAATGATGTTCGATCAATTTCAGTCAGATTAGATTGATACCACGCTCCGAAAATAATAAATAATTAGATGAAAACTCTACAGTGCATCAACTTGCTCAAACAGCAGCACGCACAACATTCATGAAAGCCACACTTCATTTCCACTACACTTCCCAGTGTTAAGAAACTGAACCCTAGTCAACGAATTTCAAACTTAATTCAAACCACACTACAGATAAACAGATCGCCCATATTGAGCCCAAATCGACTAACGATCTAGCTAATAATAGCTCAAAACCCACTGAACAAACCTTAAAAACTAAAAATTAAAAAGGAAAAAAAGTAAACAAACAACCTTACTGAGATTCAGAAGTAAATTCATTCTCAGATTCGCAACGGGATTTCCTGATCCTCAAAGTACGGCATCAGATCCACATAAATGGCGGTGCTAAATCTGAACAGGGAAAAGTAAATCTATCAAAACTATTGCAGATAATTTTACCTTGAGCAAATTATCAAAAAATGAAACATAAATCAGTAAAAAAGGAAAGCTCACTTGAAACCATACTTGCTTGGGGAATATTCCGGCGACCGGCGGCGAACGATTCATTTGAAATCGGAGAACCCAAAAAAATTAAATAAAAATAAAAAAATGGAAATTATACTGTTCAGAGATTTATTTAAAGTAGAAGTACAACTACAAACTATGCAGCAGTTAAAAAATTAAGATAAATGTGTATATATAAAATAAAAAAAAAACGAATTAATTAATAAATTATGTAATATGTAATCTGATAAATATTTATTATCATTGTGATTATAAATTATTATTATTGTGGTGTGTGTGAAAGTAACAGTTATTATTAGTATTTTACATTTTAGGGTGCATCAATTGGTGCATCCTCTGTGTCACGCGCACCAAACAAATGTTTGGGAAAAAAGGGGAAAAAAAAAAAGTTGTCATTATTTATTGTCTTTACCATTTTATATAATTGTTAATTAATTGAATTTTTAAGGACTAATTCTAATATCAAGAATTATTGTACACCATTCAAAGTTAGCATATTATTGTAATATATGACATGAAATTAAATCATTTTTTTTATCAGAAGAAAATAATAGTATGGTAATGGTTAATAGTGGGATGAGGTAATTTTAACAAGATATTTTTATAATTAACTATATAAATTGTGGGGATGGGAATTATGGCTACTTTTCTCAACTTGTAATTAAATTAAAGAATATATTAATTGTAATTGAAAAAGTAAAAGATAATAAGTCATGTACTCCAAGACACCTTTGTTTCTTTATGATTATTTAATTATTGAAAAAGTAATTTTTATTAATATTTTTTTTTTTCTTTTTCTTTCTTACACAATATGAAATCTATAGTTATGGGCCAAAACATCGTTGAAACTTTATTGGGCTTAGTTTAGTGTTTTTCCAATTGAGATTGTATTGGGCTCTTTGTATAAATCTGCTAACAGATTGGGCCGATAAAGCTCATGACTAGGCTAGAAATCAAGCAGCCCAAGACTAGCATTAGATAATTTTGGATCGAATAAAATTAAGGTCCAATATTTATGTTGTCTCAGGTCAGCCGAAGAAAATTGAATCTCTTTAATATTTAGCTAATACTACACAAATAATAATTATTATTATGTTGAAAAAAGAGTCGAGCTTTCCTAACACTAGTCCTCCTGTCCTAGGGAGGGGGCAACTTAATTATTTATGGTCCTAGTGCTGGTAACTAAATCCACAGCTAGCCTACTACGTACCTCATAACTATTTTATCAGTACAATATTAGACATTTTGTACGATGAACTAATGATGTTTAAACGAGGATTAGAATTTAGAGTTTGATTAGCACCATTAGTAACTATCTAGAGGCGTAAACGAGCCGACTAAAACTTATGTTCACGACATATACTCGAATTCAAGTCGAGCTAATTGAACGAGTTGGAAAATAACTTTGAGCTGGAGCTCAGCTCATTAACTGACCTAGCTGTTAGAGGAGTTCGAGTCCAACACATTTATCAATATTAAGAGTTGGCTCGTTTAATTTAACAGTTACACTTAATAAGACAGCTTTTAGTATTCTAACTGTAATTGATTTTCTTCATGTTATTGGCTTTCATCAATTTATTATTGTGTTTGTCTTAGGCATTAGTTTCAAGTGAAATTTAAGGCGTTTTGTGGTCAACTAATGAACCAAACACTACTTTACACTCTACATTGAGATGCGGGAGACTTTCATGATCATAATTATCTACAAAACAAAGCAGGAAAATTGAAAAATAGAAATATGTAAAAAGCATAAATTAAGGAGCAAGAAAGAGTAATTACAATACCAATCAAGAAGAAAGGACAAAAAAAATATTTTATTTTATTTATTCTTTAAATGAATAAAATTCAAATCATATATAATTTGTCACCAAAAAAAAAAAAGAAAAGAAACTCAATAAATTAAATTAAAAAACAAATCGAGCTATCATCTTCCATATTCAATTCATTTCAAACACCCACAGTTCCACACAGTCCCAACACAAGCGAATTCGACGGCGGCGGTCGGCCGCCGGCGAGCATCACCCGCTCGTAGTAATCCACGCAGAACAACGAGAGCGACAGCTCCACCTCATGCCGTGTCCACACCTGCGTCCTCCCCTGCCGCCTTGTCCTGAGCACCGGCCTCACGCACGCCGTGTACAGCCGCCGGTAACCCCCCAGAGCCGCCACCACCGCCTTCACCCTTTCCGGCGGCGGCGCCAGCTGGCGGAAGCAGAGGTACTCCCACAGGGAGTCACTCCTTGCCAGGCCCCGCCACAGGCGGCAGACGCCGGCGGCCGCCGCCAGCGAGCGGTCGTCGTCCAGCCGCTTGAGGATCTCCAAAAGAACGTCCGTGTGGTCGTTTATGCTGAACCGTTGAGAAAATTGCACCATATTCAGAGTCTCCGGCCGTGAGAAATTAATTTATTGTGTGTATATATATAAGGGTACTATTTTTCATGTGTATGAAGAATGCAATGTATATATATATTGTCTATTGACATGTAATGTATTTAACCAAGATGAATGAAACAAAAGGAAGGTGAAATAGTGTGTGTATTTTACTGAGTATTTTTATTATTATTATTGTTTTATATATGTTGTAATAAGTAATAACACGCACTTGTAAGTGCGAGAGTGTGTGTGTGTGTGTGTGTGGTATCTGAGGAAGAAAAGAAGAGGCCAAAAAGGAAGGGACAAATGGATTATGATAGAATCGAGGAGACCATTTAATTCAAAATTGGAATTGTTGTTTTCTTTTGATTTTTGTTTTGTTTTTTTGTATGTGTAAATGTGTAGAGGGCCGTTGGAAGAAATAATTTTAGAATAATTCTAATTCATGTGCAAAAAAAAAAAAGCAATAACCAAAGGAACCATTTAATTCTCTGTTGTTTTTGCATGCAAATTACACAATAAATCATTTGTTTGTTGACTACTGTAAGGTATCATATATTATGTACACACGCATAACCAAAGGGAACTTTTAGATAATACTATATAGAGTAGCAGATTAAAATTTTATTTAAATTAATTAATATTTCAAAACTGATAAAAAAAAAAGCAAATTTATAGCGGAATTCCCACTCGAAAATGTAGCAAAGCCTTATTAAATAGACATAAGAATTAAGATGATTAAACAAATTATACTATATATATCATTTAATCTTCATGCATGGGCTAGTTAATTTATTTTAATCTATCAAATTGAGGGTACATGAATTAATGAAGACTTATTAATTTTACATCTAGGATATATATATACATAACTAATTTATCCATGTATGTTTCAAATTGTGTAAAATTTGGAGTCCTATCAATCAAACAAAATTGAATAACATAAATAAAAAGATATAGAAGAGTTATGATTTATGGTCATAGTACGCATGCAGTCTCATGATTTGATCCAAAAAGGAAACCCCCAAATGCCTCTACACAGAAGAAAGTACATATATTATATAATAAAAAAATCAAAACAAAGAAAAAAAAGAAAAATCCACACACACATATATATATATATATATTCAACAAAGACTACTCATAGTCACAGACTGGTTTTTATTGGGTTGGATCTTTGTTTCTTGGACTTACACTTTTACACACACATACACAGAGGCCCACATGTGTGTGTGTGTGTTTTACAGTCAATATTAGTTCCATTTGTGTGAGTGATTCTTTTGTTGTGGGGGGAAATTGATGCCTGCCTGCATGCTTATAACAATGAAAGGGCAATAATAACTTTATTCAACTTAATTTTACATATATATATATGTGTGTGTATGATCATCATTTCCCCTCAGCTTTTTGTGATATGTGTACTTTGTTATTTGTCGTTACTCATTGGGCTATCAAGTCAAACACTACAGTCCCTCATTCATTCTGTGCCTTCCCTTATTTAGTTTTTATTTTCTTGCTAGGAAAAATAATTAATTAGGTGTGATGGGTGCAGGCATCATGTGATTTGACATTAAAAATATATAAATTTTGGTGTGTTCCACTTTGACTAATTCTACATTTTTAACAAAAATGTGTATTGATTATACAATATCCTACTTTTTTTTTTATGTTGCTTTTAAATTGAAATTATAATATTTCAGCTAATTAAAATAATTAATATGTTAAAAAAGTTATATGCCTATCAGATTGTTCCTAACATCAAACTTTTCTATCTATCTATCTATCTATACTATTATAAAAGAGCCAATGAATCTGTAAAAATATGATATCCCTAAATTAACCTTACTTTGTCATGTTTATAATGTCAATTTTGTAATTTAATACCCCCATTCTATACTAATATTTTTAATTAAACACATTCTAGATCTTGGGGTTTATGTATGTTGGTTTGGCCCTATTATCAATGCCGTCTATTTATCAAAATTTCTCCCTTTTGAATATCTTGTCACTCCCCATTTTCACTTTTTGTATGAAACTTTTACATTTATTTAAATAAGATTTTCATTGATATTAAAATCTGAATAAACTTTTAAAAATTATCAAAATGTTAAATTTTACATTTATTTAAATAAGATTTTCAATGATATTAAAATTTGAACAAACTTTTAAAAATTATCAAAATGTTAAGTTAGTGTACAGAAAAAACAAAATTATGACATTACCTTACCAAATACTCATTTTTTTTAAAATTTAGACAAGCAATGTATCTCTGTACCAAAAAAAAAATAAAAAATAAAAAATAAATAAATAAATAAATAAATAACGCGTTCAGTATGATAGATAAGGAAAAAACTAATAAAAAATATAATTGCTTCACATGAGCAATTGATTTTCAAGATGAGCGCTCTATAAACAATGATAATTCAAATTTTTGTATATTAAATATTTTATTTATTGACATTATTTTAAGATTTGTAAATATTTTTATGATTTTCTCAATAATTTTAAGAGTTTATTTAACCGTAAGTATATAAGATAAATTTCTTAGCAATATTTATTTAATTTTATAAGTTTATTAATAACAATTATGTTAGTATTAAATGTGACATGGAGGCCAAAACTAACGATAATTATACATAATATGAATGTTTAATTTAAATCAATTTTATTTCTTAAGCAAAAAATAAAAAAAACATTACGATTTACCAAATAATTGCTTTAATGTTTTTAAATTATCTTTAAGACTATTGAA